CACACACACACGCACACACATCTCTGTATCACTGACATGTAACTTTGTGTGTGATGGTAAGTCTGTTGTAAAAAACTGTCCGTACAGGTCTGGTAGGTCAGAGGTCATCCACTTAAAGGCTGATTTTCCAGTTCCATCCTTTAAACTATAAAATGTTGTATTGTTGCCTTTAGATGGGACAAACCTCATCAACCTTCTTGTATGCAAACGAATGGAGATGCTAATGTGTGTTTCATTTTGATAATGGGTCTAAATTATATGTTTTCTTTTTCTGTTTGCTTTTACTTAATGGTCCACACTTCTTAATTACACTTCTTAAAAGTAACTGCTTGGTTACACTTTTCTTTTGTTTGTAATAATCTGATCTTATTTTTCTTGTGGTTTGCCACCATGTGGCAGTTTTAGTAAATGTTTGGTGAGATGTAACAAAGGGAAATATTTGCCCACTCGTCTGTTGGAAACACTTAAACATGGAGTTCTTCTCCAGCCTCCCAATGACATTTCCTATGGGCATTGTATGCCTGTCTATAGCCGCCTATTGTCCCTCCCCCTGTACAGTGTAATGGTCAAAGGATTTGCTGGGCGATGCGTGCCAATACCTCCAGCTTTACAACAAAATGTTTTAACCTGCAGTCTTTCTAATGGCCAGTAGGAGGCGACGCCTCTGGTGTAAAAGGGTTTTCGACTGAACAGGACTCAGTGGCTCCCTCAGTTCTCCTGATCTGTGGCCTTAGTCAACTCTTTCTTGAGTTGATGGTCTGTCAGATCAAGTCTTGATGAGTATAATTATATTTACTCAGTAAATCTCAGTTTCATTACAGTCAAAATGATTCCTAGCCTTGGCTTCTCAGTCAGACCCGCCCACACACATCCACCCTGGTTTCAAATCACCAAGATCCCAGCAGCCTTTTAGACAATATTAATGTAGATCATCTGTTTTTAAACCACACTGAAGTTTAACACTGTATGTGATGCAGCTGCAGCGTTCACCAACCAAACAGGAACATCTGTGTATAGCTTAAGATGCCATAATTGTGAGTGGCTGTGTTTCAGCTCGTAGAGCAGGTCGTCTAAAGTCTGAACGTCGGTGGATTGATCCCCGTCGAGGGGAAGCATCATTTGCTGATCCTATGTGTAGGCTCAGGTAAATGAGCGCTCTCAGTGCTCAAATTGAATAGAAAGGTGTTGTAGAAGTACCAGCCCGTTTATATGATTAGAGAAAACTGCTCACTTCTGCAAAAATAGGACATTTTTGAACTTTTCACCCTGTAAAAAGGTTTGTGTTGAGCTGAGCTTCAGTTCAGGAACAACTAAGAACATTAAGAATGATTCTCTACAGTTCGAGTCATTTAGTGTGCTGTTTGCATCTGTGGGCACCAAATAATACTGAGCTTGTGTCGCGCTGTCCTTACCTGCTCAGTGAAAGTCTGCAGAGTTTAAGTGAACATGTGTTAATGTGTGTAAGTGACCTCAGAGCTGTCCAGCACTGCAGAGTGTGTCTGTTCATGCTCCCTCGGGCTGTTGCATTACACCTCCAACTCAGAGGAGCCCACATTTATCAGCAAAGCAGGCTTTTACAGAACAGGGGGTCCATCTCTGCAGAGAGATGGCAGTGGGCTGTTTTTACAGTAATTAGTGCAAATGGGCCTGTTTACACTGCGCAGGATTCCTCTGTGAAGCGGGGTCGCAGACGTGCCACTCTGTAGAGCCGTGGGGGCCAAAGACTGGTCTACATTGCTTTTCTTGCACTTGGCACTGACAGAGGTGTGTGAGAAAGAGGCAGGAGTGTGCATATGAGATTTCTGTGTGCTTCAGAAAGCCTTCTTTATACAACCTAGTTCATAGTTTGATGGTTTAGCAGCAACGCTATGGGCCCTGGGATAGTAACAGGGACCAGGGATTGTCTGGCTCTGTGTTGGGTTCAGCTTTTTGGGAGGTCCTCAAACTAACCACGGGCACAGAAAACGAGTGGGAGTGCACTAAAAACCCAGTGGGAGGTGTGAGGGACTGAACTGAAAACGTTAGCATCGACAAAAATACAGGAAGGCAGCAGACAGGGAGAGAAATGCCTGCTGTAAAGTGTTACAACTGTGCGACCACAGGTTGCTGTTCCCCCACACTCGTACCCACTCCCACCGTGTGTCGTCTCAGACCTGATAGCTGACAGCTGTGGACTGTATGACAGCCAGCAGCTTGGTCGGTGCATTAGATGCTGAGACACACTTTGCCTTTCTCTAAAATACAGGCTGTAATGTTAGTCTCCTCAAAGCACTTTATATTGTAAAGACCCACAGTATTAAAGAGAGAACCCAGACAATTAGACAGCCCCTTATGAGCAGCACTCAGTGACAGCAGGAAGGTGAAACTCCCTTTTGACAGGAAGAAACCTGTGGCAGGCTCAGGCAGAGGCAGCCGTCTGCTGTGTGTTTGGAGGGGAAAAGAGGAGCATATAGAGATCGAGCACAAAACACAACCTACAGGGAAGAGAAGGCAAAAGTTAATAATGCAAAACAGAGCAAGACATAAATTGTGCTGTGTTAGATAATGTAGAGTAGCTGTGTTCAAATACTCTGCTGATCCATACATGGTGTAACCCTGCATGCTGGTATGAAGCTGGCTCTCCTGAGGGTAATCATTCAGTGCGCTTCACAGGAAAGAGGAGTTTGGAAATCAACAATTAACCACAGATCATGTTAAAGCTCTTACTATGAGGACAGATCTCAGCATTAGTTGTTGGGTGGAGGCTCTGTGAACGCACTGCGAGTACACAAGTACAGGGAGACTTTGAGAAGGACCGAGCTGAGAAACAAAGAGAAGGACAGCCTGATACGTTCACACACCGCCCCGTCTGGTTTCAGCTCAGTGAGACGGAGATTTTCACAGGACGATGAGGCAAAACGTACAGATCTTTGTAAGCAGAGCGATGGAGGTCAGCATCTTCTAGCATGTGTGACAGAGCTGGCTTGGAGCTCGACTCCAGCGAACAGGTGCTCAGCAGGTGAGGGAGCTGCTCCAGGTGATGAGCCAGCTGGAGACAGAGATCGTAGATCGTAGTCTGAAGACTGTGTGTGTGTGTGTGTGT